TGTGTAGAAATCATAACATTGGTGCGCAAGAAAAAGTAAAAGTATATACACAAGGCCGGGTAGTTGATTATGTCACGTAAATCATATAAATGAGCTGGAGAGAGTAAATAAAGAAATATTACAATATTTAAATTATTCAAAAAGCTGCAAGAGCATCTTTTCCAGGTGTGGAGGGAATCCTCCTGTTCAGTAAAAGATCTTCGGTGCCGAGGCGCAGCCAATCAGGGGGCTGTGCTGCGGGACTTCACTTCCGGTGTCGGTTCCAGCCTCTTTATATACAGTCTATGCCCTAACGTCATTTTGCAAACAGTCAAAACGCTTCAGAAACAAACCCAACAATGGCTGCGAGCGTTCCTGCTGCTTCACGACACGTGTGTTCACTGTATCCACGCAACGAAGTCACTCCGAACAAGTGTCGTTGCTTAAACTCACTAAGAACCCACTGGCCCGCTGCGCAGTGTGTGGTGATGAGCTGCGCAGCTAACGTTAGCCCGCTCGGCTTGTTCCTGACTCACCTCACAGAAGCAACAGCGACATCGAAAACACGTGCAGGTGAAGAACATGTGAAGAACATGTGAAGAACATGTGTCAGGTGAATGACGTGGTGTTTAAGCCAGATCGGACTCACCGGTGACACTGGTCCAGGAGCTGCTCCAGTTCGCTGTGGACTAGTTCACTTTAACATTCAGATCTGCACGTTATCGTCTATAAAGCATTGAAACTGTGTTCCGCTAATAACCGAATCCCTGAATCTGACTTCTTCTTCTTCTTCCTGTTTTTCTGCGAAACCAAAAAACCCCACAGCTCATCTCATCATGCGGAGCTGCGACGCACCGGGCGCAGAGTCACGTCTGGTCGGAGCTATTCTTCACTCGTTTCCGTAAGTTCCCTAAGGTTTCGTTTTATTGAAAATGGGCGTCGACAACAAAAAGTTTAGTTTCTTTATGATTCGTACCAGTAAGTTTCTGGAAAAGAGAAGCGATCCCTCTGACCACAATGATTCATCAAGAATGTACATTTAAAAAAGATGATTATTAATCATGGAGTGGCCTTTTAATAAGTTGTCTTCATCCACAAACGTCCTGTTAAAGTGTATAATGCTTCATATTGTACT